TAATGAGGAAGATCTTATCATTTACACCTTAAATGGTCTTCCGGCTGAATTTAACACCTTTCGCGTTGGGTGTGTTGCCTAAACTCGTAGTTTGTATTTATATAAAAACAAATGTATATTCAATAAAGTTTTATTCAATAAATTTGTTGTTGAGTTCATAGCATTGCATTGTCCAAAATCCAATAAACTAAACGTCCGAGGTTATTTTAGTGTAACCGGGAGAGTATATGTGCTGGGTATATATTTGATATACTGAGTATATATTTGATATATCCCTGATATACGAGGTATATATTTGATATACCCTGATATACAAGTGGATAATGTCTCGTGAATAACCTAAATGGTCTATAGTATATGGATAAGGCTGGGTACCTTATCCTAGCAACACTATGGATACGGCCCACTCTGATCGGACCACGAAATAGTCAATCTTTAGATGTAACACCGTTAACTAATAGATTGCTGTTTCTTAGGATGACCAGGCAACTCATTCTCAATCCTGAGTGAGTTATGGACTCCTACCTGTGAGGGCTCGTCCTTTGATCTGTATGGATGAGAGTGGCCCGAGTGGCCGACTTAATATTCCTACCATTTTGGGGACGAGACCGAGTGGGGAGCTGAGAACATAACTTCACAAGATGGAATTCACTTCTCCCCGACTTTAGGGGAGTAAATGAGTGTTCTCTTAATTACTAACTCCGGGACTTGAACAAGGGGTCCCACACTCTCATTGGCCTGAGAGGGACTTTCGGTTATTGGTCGGACCATAACCAGATTGTTCATTAGAGGAGTAGTGATATTTAAGGAGTAAGATGTAACTCAGGGGTAAAACGATAATTTGACCCAACTTGAGTTACGAGCACTCGTGAAGGATTGACTCGTCATTAATGGTCGTATATCCATGGACACGAAAATATTCTGCAGTGAGAAGAGTGCAACTACTGGTCTTTAGTGGAGTGACCCGTAGTTAACCAATGTTGATCAACTCGGTCAATGAGTTTGACCGATTAATCTCGTATCGTTGGAGCTTCTGATCTGTAGGTCCATTAGGTCCCCTAGCTAGCTCATAACGGGTAAAACGAGGATCAAGTTTTTGGAAGAATTTGAACTGTTCAAATTTAATAAGGGATTATATGTATATTGATACATTATAATATATAGTTAATTCTAAATTAAAACTATATATTATTAGAGAAATTATTTGAATGAGATTCAAATAAAATTAATATGAATAAGATTCATATTAAAACTATAGGTTATACGAGAGAAATACTATAGAATATGATTCTATTTATGTGATAAATAATTAAGTGTTAATTATTTGATATATATATATATGTTAATTAATTATTAATTAATTATATATATATATATTATAATTATATATATATTAATTATTATTATTATATATATATATATATGTTAACTAATCATTCTTCTTTTTTTTTGAAATGGGAAGCTGAATGGTTCTGCAACTGATACAGAACAAAAGAAGAAGAAAAAACTTCCAATCTCTCAAGGAGCTCTCTCTCTCAATACTCCCTCTCATTCCAAACGAGGTGCTCCCACAAGCACGGTCTCGAGACCCAAGAGGATAGCGAGGAAGACACGGTGGTGCTGTTCGGGTGGAAACCGTTGAAGAAAAGTTCTTCAAATGTATGGTTTTCCCCTGTATTTTCTTCTTAACCGTTTTGATTTTGTTTCCCAAATATCACGAACAACGGTCCGCTTCCGCTCCGGGATTCACATCCCTTCAATTGGTATCAGAGACAGGTTGTTGTTCTGATTTTTTGGGAGCAAAATCGGTGTTTTTGGTGGGTGTTTTCATATTTTCGAAATATGGGTTTGCGGGTTGGAAAATTTCCGATTTTTGGCATGTAGATAGCGTTTTTCTTCTTGATTTGATCATGTAAAGGTCCGGTGTTTTGGGGATATTGTTTCTGTATCGAGTCTGTAAGTCCGGGTCACTCGAAAGTTGTTCGCGGCGTCGGATTTGGCTAAAAATTGCAGAAAACAGCGAAGACTACGAAGCAGACTGCACAGACAGCGCCGTGGGGCTGTGCAGCAGCGCTATGGCGCTGCAGGGAAGGCACATAGCGCCACGACGCTGCACTGTAGCGCCGCGGAGCTGTGCAGTGCCATGGCGCCATGTCTAGGCACTGCGACACTGTTGCTGCGGCATTTTGCTGCAGCAACGCCGTGGCGCTGCCCTTAGGCGCCGAGGCGCTGTCCCGGGTGTTTTTCGCGCGTTTTTGTGGCTCTGGTTCGCGGTTCGAGGGCGGTTGCAGTCGTTTTCTTATTTTTGTATTATTTTGCTTTCTTAGGGTGCAAAAAATCGTTCCAACTTTGCTATTTAATTATATTATGCATTCTGAATGTATATTTTAATTAAAAGCATATTGCATATTGTATGTCATATAGTTTTAAAATTCCACCATAGGTTACATGCATAATATGTATATTTTGATATATAGTATGTATGTATGGTCATGCATCATATAGTTATAAATGTTATAGTGTATGAATGCATGTTTTATTTTCATAATTAATATAAGTGTTGTATTAATTAGATGAAAATAAAGTTGCATTGAGCATGACAATACTTTGATTAATATAATTTTTATATTAATGTATGTTTACAATGCATGATTATAGTTTTAATTTCTTAAAGTTTATAAGAGTTATAAAATGTGGTAGAAAGAAATTAAAATCTATAATAAAGAATTGCATGCAAACATAGGGTCTAAGTTAATTAATTTTAAAGGGGTTTAAAATTAATTAGACCTTAGGTTATTATATCTTCTAATATGATTAGGGGGTAGTCTTTTATTTTATTTTAACTAGGTTTAAAATGAAATGATAAAAGACTAAATATAAAATATTGTCTATAAGGGAACCCTGTCTAAGGAAAGTTCTGTCTAGGTTGAGGTATTTAAGCTGACCGTAAGGGAACACCTCTACCTGGGAGTTAAATTAGTCAATATTTTATAGACGTGCAATAATGTCATTGGTTTATTAAAGTGTTTAATGAACTAAAACATTATTGTACAACTACCAATATAATAGTTATACTGGGCTAACTAAAAAATCACTTAGTTAATTTCACTTAGCCGGGATTTATCTAAGTAATATACCCTTATCTTAGAATACTAAGTGGGAGCTAAAGAGAATATGTAATATACAACAATATATTTGATATACAAAGTAAAAATAACATACTTTTATCTCTCTATCACGTTCTCCTTTATATTCACACTGTGAGTTCCATGCTCGGCCTCGTGTCGCCCTCGGCGCGGCCTCCCTACGGAAGGTGTTTGCATGGTTCAATATCGAGGTGAATGGAGATAGTATTCATAGTAAGTGGGAGAAGGACGTGTGACAACACATCCTGCGGTCTCCGCCATTGGTTTGCACCGTGAGGTTTCATACATGACCTGCGTGTCGTCCTGGAGCGACCATCCCTACGGAGGGTTCATTGTATGGAATCAAAACCAAGGCAAACTCCATAAATGGATAAGGGTCTCTTAGGTTTTGCTCCAATATTTTCCTTCCCAACGACGGGATTATTGGGGTGGATCTCTGAGGTCCGAAAATGACGGGTCACACTTACGGGGAGTTGTTAAGTTAGTTAGTAATTTCCTGACCAAATAAACGATGACTAAAGTTTATAGGAATAAGAGTTATTCTGGTGTAAAATTTAGTTGAGAACGTCTCAATTCAGTGAAGGAGTACCTGTCTGCCCTACGGTAGCTGTTGCTCTAAATCACTGAAGCGTCGTTGCAATACAATTTTGTTAGGGTGCTTAATTACTTTTGCTAAAATTTGATTGGGTTTAAAGGCTAATGCATGAAACTGATATAGGTTTGTTTTTACTTTCAGCATGTCTACTTCAATTATTGCACTCCTAGTCGCTCAAAAACTTAACGGTGAGAATTACAAACAATGGAAATCGAATTTAAACACTATTCTCGTGATAGATGATCTTAGGTTCGTCTTGCAAGATGATTGTCATCAAGCTCCTGCGCCTAACGCCACTGTGGCGGTGTGCAACGTCTATGATAGGTGGATCAAGGCCAATGACAAGACCAAGGTCTACATCTTAGCGAGCATATTTGATGTGCTTGCCAAGAAGCATGAGGACACGGTCACCGCTAAGGAGATCATGGACTCGCTGCAAAGCGTGTTTGGACAACCGTCCTCATAGGCTCGACATGAAGCCCTTAAGTTCGTTTACAACTCCCGCATGAAGGAGGGTTCCTCAGTGCAAGAACACGTTCTCAACTTGATGGTCCACTTCAACGTGGCTGAGACGAACGGGGCTGTCATAAACTTGCAGAGTCAGGTCAGCTTCATTCTGGAATCTCTTCCGAAGAGTTTCCTTCCATTCCGCAGCAATGCGGTTATGAATAAGCTGGAGTACACTCTGACCACGCTCTTAAACGAGCTACAGACCTACCAGTCTCTTATGAAGAGTAAGAGACAAGAAGGGGAGGCAAATGTTGCCACCTCAAAGAGGTTCAATCGAGGTTCGTCCTCTGGAATCAAGTCTGCGCCCTCTTCTTCTGGAAATAAGACTTTTAAGAAGAAGGCTGCTGGTAAGGGGTCTAAACCTGACTCCGCTGCTGCCGCTGCCAAGAAAGGCAAGGCCAAGGTTGTAGAGAAAGGAAAGTGTTTCCACTGCAATATGGACGGGCATTGAAAGTGCAACTGCCCAAAGTACTTGACCAAAAAGAAGAAAGCCAACGAAGGTAAATATGATTTACTTGTTTTGAAAACATGTTTAGTGGAGAACGATGACTCTGTCTGGATACTGGATTCGGGAGCCACTAATCACGTTTGTTCTTCATTTCAGGGAATTAGTTCCTGGAGGCAGCTTGACGCCGGAGAGATGACTCTCAAGGTCGGAACAGGAAACGTCGTCAAAGCTATGGCGGTAGGGGAGCTCAAGTTGTTTACAAACAAAAATATGTATATATTATTAGATAATGTGTATGTGGTTCCTCACTCTAAAAAAAACACAGTGATGCACTCTAAGCACACAACACACAGCGCCAAGCACTTGAAAATAAAATGATCCCTAAATTCATAACCTTATCCTTGTTGATCTGCGCCCTCTTCCGACGGGCGGCGGCGGCGAGGGTCCTCCGGATGCGGCCAGGCTCGGCGTCGTTCAAGATCGCTGTTTTTGCAGACCTGCATTTTGGGGAGGAGGCGTGGAGCGATTGGGGTCCGATCCAAGATGCCAATTCTACAGTAGTCATCTCCACTGTCCTCCATGATGAAAACCCAGGTTGTTTATGTTTATTCTCTCAAATTTTGTTTATTTTTTGGTAAACATATAATCGTTAATTTGGTTAAGCCAAGGCTGCAGATTTGGTAGTGTACCTTGGAGATGTGATTACAGCCAACAACATAGCAACGCCAAATGCTGCAACTTTTTACTGGGAAATGGCACTCTCTCCCGCTAAAGCCAGGGGAATCCCGTGGGCCACTGTGTTCGGAAATCACGACGACGCCCCCTTTTCCTGGCCGCTCCAATGGTTCTCCTCCGCTGGAATTCCTCATCAACAAAAGTATTGCCGTTTAGGTCGATACTTTCCTTAATCACCTCAAATGGGGTGTTTTAATCAGTTTAGCTAGGTCCTTTATCTAAACTAAACTTAATTGGATCCGGTCTCTATGTTTTAAAGGTATCTAATGAGGGCCAGTTTCAAAATATTACCCCTTCTTATTTTTTAATAAAGAAAAAGAAAAATATAACGACTATAAATTCAAATACGATGGAATAAGATTTTAGGAAGAAATTGAAATCCAAATTAGAGATAAGATTTATTTTTTATATTTCAGGATTTCTATATAATTTTGAAAATATTTACGTTAAATAAGAAATAAAAAATAGAAATAGTTTTCAAATTTTTTAATGAAATTGAAAACGAAAGACAACAAACTAAAACCCTACCAAAAGGATTATAAATTCTTACCCTTATTATTTTTTTGTTTTACGAGATAGAAGGATCCGCAGGAGGAGGAAGAGGGTGTGAGTTTCGAGGGACACGGCGTTTGGAGCTGATGAAAAATGAGGTGGAGAATAACTCATTATCAAGATCGAGAAGTGGGCCCACAGATCTGTGGCCCACTATCTCAAACTACTATCTCCAGATCTCACCATCGGACGGTCTGGAATTGTCGCCGGTAATCAACTTGTATTTCTTAGACTCTGGCGGTGGTTCTTATCCTGAAGTTATCTCAAGTTCCCAGGTGGAGTGGTTTCGCCGTACAGCCCAACAAATCAATCCTTATTCCGAGTATGTATTAATTATATTGCTGAGGATGCAAACATTAAAACATTAAAACATTAAAAAAAATTTAAAATTTTTTTCGGTATTTTGCCTTCTTAATTTCATGATTGGAAAATAATATTTATGCTAGTTAAGTTATAAGTCTGGCCTCTATCTAATAAATTCTTAAATTTGAGTACACTTCTCTAGTAATTTCACTTCTATTTTATAGACAATTTATTTTATGAGTTTCTTACCCTCAAATACATCTGATCTTGCTTTCACCCGTGGCATTGTTGACTTAGTCTATTTTGTTTGAAGTGTCCACTTTTAGCTTAATGTGTAGACCAAACTTTAGATTTTGTGTTTAATAAATTCGTGATTTATGAATTATTTTTTACCCACGCAACATTAAAAATTTATAGATATATATTATTAGATATATATATATTTTAAATATAAAGAACCTATTAGACACACATAAATTTTGTTTGGAACTTGTGGACTTTATGATGTATTTTGAGCTTATTATTTTGAACGAAAACAGGGTTGCAGAGATAGTTTTCTGGCACATACCAAGTGGAGCATACGAGGAGGTAGCTCCATATTCTTTGATAGAAGAGCCTTGTGTTGGTTCAATTAACAAGGAGAAAGTCGCTGCTCAACAAGCTGAATTTGGCATCATGACACTACTCCAACAAAGGCCTTCTGTCAAGGTATCATCTTTCTATCTCTATCTCTGTTTCATTGAAAAAGGTCAAGTCGACTAAAAGTATAATTTCATTAATAATTATTTCTTTTAATAAAATGGAGTTGAGATTAAGGATACTTTTACAATAATTGATAAGTTTGAGGATATTATTATCAAAACGTTTTTGAGTACTAATCATTGATAAACAATATTCAAAATTATATATTTAAAAAAAATAACAACAAACAAAATTAATGGTGATGAAAGGAAATTTAAAAGGCAACCTCAGCATGTATCGACTGGTTCAGGTACTTATTTCTGATCAAGAGATCGTGAGATCGAATTCTCCAACTCACATGTATCAATATTCATGAGGTTCTATCTCAAAATTCATTGCCAATAAAAGGAGTAACTCATGTATATTATAAACCTTTGTGACGTCCCTTATCATATTTTCAAATATAAGATCCTTCACATGCCCCAACAAGATCATGGCTCTTTTCTGCTCATTTATCTTGGCTGGATCCCATGATACTGTATCAATATTCATGGATCAAATGCTCGTTTGAACGTTTTGGAATCTGGTACTATATCAATATTCATGAGATTCCATTTCAAACCAATTGACAATGAGAGGAGTAATCCATGTATATTATAAATATTTGTTAGGTCCGTTGTCATCTTTTCAATATGGGATCTTTGACATGACGTTATACTAAAAAAAGAGGAAATTTAAGAAATTTATTTAGCATTGTAATTTGCAAACAAAATTAGGGTTAAATGATGTGCTTATATGGTGGATGTGGTGTGTGTTGGCAGGCAGTGTTTGTAGGACACAACCATGGGTTGGATTGGTGCTGTCCCCACAAGAGTAAGAATAAACTTTGGCTGTGCTTTGCAAGACATAGTGGCTATGGTGGTTATGGAGATTGGCCAAGAGGAGCAAGGATCATCCAAATCACACACAAACCCTTCTCTCTGAAATCTTGGATAAGGATGGAGGATGGTCAATTACATAGCCAAGTCATCTTGAGTTCTTAAAAGGGTTCTTATAAATAAAGATTCAGGACACTTGAATTTATAATCTATATAAAGAGAGGTATTAATTTGTACCTCGTTATTTTGAGTTGTATTCAAGCTAATACAATACTTGGTTGGCACGTATCAACTAATTTTATGTATATTAATTTGTTAGCACTACAGATATATATATATATATATATATATATATATATATATATATATATATATATATATATATATATATATATATATATATATATATATATATATAAATATAATAGATGTGCATGTTTTAAGTAATCATACGTAGGTCAGTGATTGATATGAACTAAACTCTGTGCAAGCGTACGCAATCCTAACGATGTAGTAATAGGAAATATTTCAAGCCTGTCTCCTTAAGGATTTTGTAAAGAATAGTTCAAGTGCTGACACATCAATATTGTATAAAGAAAGGGAGTTTTGGAAGAAATATAGTTCATTATTGTAACAAGACATTGGTAAATGATGCAAGTAGAATAACATAAACTTAAAACATAGAAGATGTTGTTGACGCACAAGGAGAAAATCAAGGTTCAACTAGATGATCTCAGATTCCAAGATATGCTACGACTTTAAAACTAATCATACAGCTAAAGAGTTTCAACTTCGTGAATATCAATGTATTATAACTAGATGCATTGTCTAATGGCAGAATAGGAATCAAGAGTCTAAGAAAAGGCATCATCAAATCACACCCAATTATTCTAATAATAATTTTTTCTAATACAACATGTAGGGGCGCGAATTCAAATTCATGACTTCTTGGTCAAAGATAAGTACCTTAACTAGTTGAACTACGGTTGACATTCCATTCTATTTGATTGCCGAAAAAGTACGTGAGAAATGAATTTATAGGTAAGTGCTGCCATCATCTTTTTATCTATTTTTCTTTTTTTACATCTCGATTATGTCCGAAGGTTTACGAGAAGATAAAAAGACACGAGATTGTATCAGGAATTATGTTTTATGCATTTTTTGTTTAATGTTGTTAGACTCTTAATTTTTAATTATAGGCATCTCATTTTTTTTGAGTCGTTTAGGTTTTCAATTTTACAAACTATTCGACCATTCATTTTTAATTAGTAATATTCATTTTTTTTAGACCTCCAATTTTATTAATGGTTACCTTGGATGCGAATCCTAGCCTGCCACGTGTCATGATCCAAAAGGTGAGTTAGATGAACACGCCGACAAAATATAGAAAGTGGCTCCAAAGCACTCAGATCGGCAGACAGGGTAGGACCTAAAGCGCCGACCCGACCTGAGACAAAGTCCGTAACAATGTCCCTTCCGTACCCGACAACACGCCGCGATTTGAGGGAGTGTCAGAACTCCTGTCGGGCCCAATTTCTATAAATAGAAACCTTAGCCTTAAATGCAAGGTACGCAATCCTAAGTAGACTCGGCAAGTTAGCTCGGACCAGAACTAACTTGCTAATCGGAGTGCTAACTTTGTTTTGCAGGTCTCAAGAGTGTTCAGGGAAGGTGCGGGACCGTTGGCCGTAGTTCGTCCTGAACGTACCGATCTAAGTCGGGCTCAAACAAGTTAGGGTGTTGATTTTTAATTAGTTATATCTATTTTGTTGAGTATTTTTCTGTCAATTTCTCGCAATTTAATTACCATCGACAGCAGCCGAGTAGAGCCAATTCGTCGTAAGACGAAGATTTTGTTCCGGTGTATGTGGCGATCGGGATGATTGCGCTCTCTCTAAGTCTCGGATTGCACACATCGACCATAGTTTGCATCTCTCAAGGGTTCTCTAAACAATGTCATATCTCTACGTGTATTGTTTTAGCTACTTTCTCTTCTCTAGTTCTAATTGTAAAATTTTTACAAATATCAAATAATCTACTCTCTCACTTGTTTTTTTTGGGTGACTCAAGACATATCCCAAGTGGGCTTTTATTGTTATTAAGCCGAACATGTGACTATATCTTGGATTTTTGGGCTGAATAGCCTTTTTCCAAATCAATATTTTTTTTACCCACTCTTTTTCAATGAAAAAGATAGGTTTTCTAATGTTCGCTGACATCACACTAAATACAAAATTATTTTCATTACCCTCCACTCTTTCTTATTCTCCCTCTATCTCTCTTTTCTAAAATTTGTTTCCTTTCACCATTTTTCCATAATTTTTTCTTCCACCTGAGTTTCCTCTCCCTCCCCTATCCTCCAAATTTTTATCTTATGCAATTCTTTCTTTCTTTCTACCTGATTTTTTTTTTCAACAAGATTTCTCTCTCAATGTATTACCGTTTGAGATCTCTTTCTTTTGGATTTTTTTCCCCAGATTCTCTCTCCTTTTTTCTACACCCTTTTCTCATTCGATTTTCTCATTTTTTGCTGTGCACTCCTCTCTTTCTTCCATTTTTTTCCACGCCCCTAAATCAGAAATGCATACACAAAATAGCAGATCCATTCGATTTTTGTTTCCAAGAATCATAAAAGCATATACATAAGATTTAAGAGCATATACATAAGTTTTAAGAGCAGATTTCAAGATGAGCACGAAGAAAATATAAGTTTTAAGAGCATATCTGAAGACAAGGGCAGAGAAAACATCGGTCTCGTTCTTGTTCTTGGTTGCTCTCACTCTCGGTCTCGCTCCCGCTCTCTATCTCGCTCTCGCTCCCGCTCTTGATCTCGCTCCCGCTCCCGCTCCCGCTT